CAGTTTTTTTTTTTTTAAAACAAGCTGTTAAGTTTGAAGCAGATTGGCTACCATGCACAGCTGAACTAGATTTTGCACGCTCTAGTTTTAGTAAATCAACCCCAGTGAGTGTGTGTGTATTTTTTTTTTCACTACTGTGCAAAAGTTTTAGGCAGGTGTGAAAAAAAATGCTGTAAATTAACCACTTGCCCTTCGGAAGATTTACCCCCCTTCATGACCAGATGACCAGGCCATTTTTTGCTCAACGGCGCTGCACTGCTTTAAGATAAAAGGAAATGATGCAGCGCTGCTCTAAAGATACAAATAATATAATATACCTAATATAAACATAATATAAATAAATATGAAAGCATATATATAAAGCGACACAACGTGCAAGAAAATGTAAAAGTGACCTGATCCTCCAGGGATCTTCAAATATTTAACCGTGACCTGATCCTCAACGGATCCAAAAGTGAACACAGTGAATACTTCACCACCACAAGGATGGTGTAAACCAATACTAAAACGTATGGTATAGATGTGAATAAATCCTGAATTGGGATGGTGTATATAAATAAAAAGAATATATAAACTTAGTCCAAATGAGGACTAATAGGTGACGTCCAAAATATGGACTCAAATCAAAAGAAACACATATAAGTGCATACCAAAAGTGCATAAACCATGCATAAAAAATATATAAATATATCCCACACACTACATAGTGTTTCCATACACAGATAAATGCATATAAGCCAACCAATAATCAATACAGTAGTGAAAATATCTGTGTGCCTATATCACAGAAAACGCATGACCCAAATCAACAAATATATATGTGAAAAAAACGTCCAAAATTGGTGCTAAAAACACCATATAATCCGGTAAACGAAACAACACTCGTGCACATGGATGGTGGATGTGGGTAACCACAGAAAGGTATCCGTAAGTAGCCGGATTAGCCGCTCCCCTCCTTGCTTCGACCCGCAGGGGTCAAAACACACTTTTGGGATTACTAAACTGGATCCTCCATGCATATGATTCCTCTATCTCTGGATACCTCTCCCTTCAGCGATCTCCCTCTCAGGGGTGTGCGTGTAAGTGGCAAAATCCTCTCCAGGTATACGGATAGGGTGTAAGCCAGTATAATGTAGTAGTACAAAACAGGCTCTAATGTAATCTGTCAGTAGCAGGGCTCTGTCCTCTGAGCGATGGAGCCGCTGTGCCAGCCAGCAGCTGCATGGGGAGCTTGAGGAGAGGTGTTAAAGATGGCCGCCGCTCTGTTCGGACCGCTGGAGCACACGCTGTCCACAGACCAGAAGTGACGTGAGAATGGAGTGGTGTGGTGAAGCGTTTCAGGGCATGAGTAGAGCTCCTTCTTCAAGACCAATCATTATATCTGTCCACAAAACCTTCATAAATTTAAGCCAAATGTATTCTGCTACATGTCTTTGTTAAAACAAGTCCCAATAAGTGTATATTAATTGGTTTGTGTGAAAGTTATAGCATCTACAATGGCGGTATATATACTGGAATTATTTTTTTTTTTAATATACTAGTAATGGCGGCGATCATTGACTTATAGCAGGACTACGATAGTATGGCAGGCATTAGCACTAACTGGCACTGGGCAGGAAGGGGTTGACTTCTGGGGTGATGAAAGGGATAGGTGTGTGTTAGGGAGTGATTAGACTGTACTGTGTAGTGTTTTACTAGGGGATGTACTGGCTTTTATCTCCCTGCTTTGCAGACAGATAAAAACAACACATCCTGCTGGCAGGAGAGAGATCTGTGTTGTTTACACTCACAGAACTCTCCCCTGTCAACTGCTCCATCAATCACTGAGTCCCAGCCATGAATCACTGGCCGGGAGCCCAGTGATTGACACCTACGGGAGCCAGCGACAGTGTGGGTAGGACAGTGCACAATCACACACACACACACACACATATATATATATATATATATATATATATATATATATACACACACACACACACACACACACACATGAATTTGGGCAGAGCGGCTGCCCTGTAGCAGTACAATTGCTATAGGGCGGCTGGGAAGTGGTTTCAGAATGCTTTCAGAAATAGAAGTATTAATAGTTTATTTTTATCAATTAAGATAATGGAAAGTGAAAGAACAGAAGAAAGTTCTTCAAGATGTTTGGGACAAGGTGCCTACCAAGTTCCTTCAAAAACTGTGTGCACAAGCATTGCGTGTACCTAGACAAATTGATCCTGGTCTGAAGCCAAAGGGTAATCACACCAAATATTGATTCGATTTAGATTTTTCTTCCGTTTGCTCATTTACCATTGATAAAAATAGACATTTTAAAATATACTGTATATGTCTAAAACATTCTTACTTTACAGCATTTCTTTACACCTGCCTATATCTTTTGCATGGTACTGTATATTGACACAGATGCATTATATGTTACCACACAAATCCTGGTGTGTTGTGTTGCAATGACATTCATTTTCAATAGCACACTAATGTTTTACTACTTTCACAAACAGTACCCCTGCAATGCACATGTCATGCATTGCGCTGTGTTAAGAAAAACGGGGCATCTTTGCCAAAGAAAACATTCACAAAGTGCTATTCTGATGGTACAGGGCTCCAGATCATGTGGCCAGGTTTACACTCAATGCCTCTCCACTTTGATTTTGAGGATGCAGGGCAGAGGGCATACTACATCACATCTGGTGGCAGTGCCCAAAGGTGTGCAAATTATGGATGCCGATATACAACTTGATTAGAGCCATCCTTAATAAGAAGCTGGTTCACAACCAGGTTCAAACCATAGCTAAAGCCAGGAGACAGCCCTCTCTGAACTTCATGGAGGTGAAGCAGTGGATTATGGGCACAATACTCACCCTAAATTTTTTTAAACATATGTTCACCTTGGCTCAATTACAACCTCAACCTGAACCTTGACCTCTCCATACTTTTGCTTAAATTGTAACACAAAACATTCCTATGTAATGGGAGTCTATGGCTGGGCTCCACTACTTCTTCTTCTCCCTCCCCATCTACACTCCTTCCATCCGTCTCCACGACTCATATTATTTCAGTTTTTGCATGAAAGCCAGCATTGCCCCCCCCCCCACCCCATGTATATATTTTCTCTCCTTTCTTCTCTATTCAGTGTACTTGACATCCCACCTGGCAAGCAATATATGCTTTTTATGTGTTTTCCTCCCCAATTAACCTATTAAAGTCTTTTGAAAAACAATAAAATATATGTGAAGAAAATGGCCATGCCCATTATTTTTTTTTTTATTAATATGCAATAAGAAAAAGTACATAACTCCATAAGGCCTTATCCATGCAGGAAGGGTCTGATGGAATAAACAGTCACAGCATTACAGATTGGTTCATGTGTAGTAGGGAGATTGGTATAAATGTTTAAACACAACAATTTAAGCAGTTATCATCCCATGGGAGACAGTGCCTCATATTTAGAAGAGCAAGGCGGGAAGATTAAGGTAGTACTCACAAGTCGGAGGTAGATTGTTACTAAGTGGAAGTTGGAGGGCTAGCATCTCGATCATGGGAAGGATAGTCACCTGTGTGACGGTGGCAGGCTCAGATCCCATTAATGCCACCAGAATGTGACAATTACGCTTTCAGCCTCACTCTCGACAGATTTGCAGCTCACAGGACAACAAACTAGGTGCCAGCAGACTGAGAATGATCATCATTAGGGTTGGTTAACTCTGCATTTAAAAGTTTACATACACAAATGGTAGGATCCACCATGTGTTTTCAAGGAAGAAAGCACTGTTAAAAAATGCAGTGACACTCACTGCCACACCAGACAAGAGTCAGAGCACTGACTTAGCTTAAGGCCCCTTTCACATGGACATTCTGATTGGGTTCGGCCGGTACCACCTTTCCGTTTTTCAGGCAGACCCAATGGGAATCTCCATTCTCCTCTATGTAGTGGCAGGTGAAAATGGACATGTGTCCGTTCGCATCTGACTGCCCATAAAGGACAGCAGGTTGTGTCCATGTCCACACTGCATAAGCAGAGTGAACACAGACCTGTCATCTGCCTGCTCAGTGGGAATCACTGCTGAGCAAGCTCAAGTGGTTGTAAACCTCAGAAATAAAATCTGAACAAAGCACATATTTCTTTAGTGTTTACCTGCCTCTATTCAAAACATTAAGTGTCATTTATCTGCTTATCTGCTGTCTTGTTCCTTTGTTATAAGCATGAGTCACTTCTGGCAAGTTCTGCTGACACCAAGAGCTAAAAAGGTGACGGGAGGGATCTCTAGCACACAGCCTGAGATTGACAGGCTCAGCTATGTTTCTGTGTGCTTTGTGAAGAGGCGGGGGGGGTCGCTTCCTTCCAATCAGCTCTCAGAGCTCTTGTACAGTGTGTAACTGCAGTTCCTTGCCCCTTGGTTTATGAATCTGTGAAAAATCCTTTTCATCCCTGAGATATACATGGATATCCAGGACAAATGGCTATAAATAAACAGATACAACTTATGTAAGCGGATTTGTTTCACCTCTGTGTATCACTTGAGGCCAGTCACTTCACTGGGTATATGTAAGGGTTTACAACTACTTTAATAATTTCAAAATATTGTTTCAATGAACAAGGCCCAGTGTTAGATGTTCTAGGGCTATTACTTCTATCACTCTCTTGAAATGGCCCCCAGCAGCCAAGTTATAATACAACACCAAATTTCATGAATAGGTGCTATTGCAGTGGAAATATAAATCTAGTTCTGGAAAATAAGAAGGAAGGGAGGATCTCTATAGGATACCACACAGAATGGAAGTACACAAGAAATATCCATTTTATGAATTAGGCAATCAAAACCTTGTCAGGGTAGACTTTTTTTTTTTTTCACAGAATTTCACAACGATCATCTTAGAGGGCAGAATTGTCACACAGATTAGCAGTAGAAAGTCCCATCTTCCTTCAGTCATCAGTCTATTGTTGTCAGAGTTGATTTTGCTCCTAAGTGTTGATTGTCATTTTCCCAGACGTCTTACAGAAACTTTTCAAGCATTCTTTTTTCTGTCATTTGTAAGAAATTTCATGTAAGTTACTTAAAAAAGCAATTTTCTTTCCAAAGAAATCATGGCATAAAGAAGAACGATAAAGACATCCATTACCTTCATTAGGGACACTCTTTAGATAGCAGGCCAGCTCTGCGGGATCCAGTGAAGCTACAAGACCAGAAAGGTCAACATACTCCTTTCCGAAATGTCTCTGATACGTGGTCAGCTGAGTTCTGTTTTGTTGGTTTCGGATATGAGCATATGTCACAGCAGGAACTGAAATGTCAAGGGAAATTAAATAGGACAGCTTTAAAAATCTGAGCTGTGTCTGTAGAAATCATCTTGGGCATAATTATTGTGCAGATGATATCATTCAATGAAGGTTATATACAGTGGAGACCACACACAGACCTGACTGAAGGAACTAGAATTATTCAAAGTTTCACATCTAGTGCCTGAAAAGTCAGTTATAATTCACTGACTGGTTGTCAGGAAACATTTAACCCTTTCACTGCCAGCAACATATGGAACAGAACAGCTCCCAGCTGGCCAAGTCAGTATGCCACTTGCTGTTGGTTGCACTTCTGTGACCCCTAACTTAGAGCAAAACTGTATAGAAGACTGCTGAATAAAGAGATAGCTGTGATCAGTGACTGACAAGCCGCTGATCGCAGCTATTCATCTGGGATGTGAGGCCCCTCTTCCCCTGCCACTGCTCCTGTCCTATCCCCTCTGCTTCCTCCACAATCTCCTTGCTACTCTGACACTTTCCCTACTCTCTATAATGCCCCAGCCACTCTGAGCTCCCCCTTCTTTCCCGCTCTGATTCCCCACCTTTGCAGCAACTGTCCCCCAGCACCCCCTGCAGATCTGCCTGCTTCTCCTCCTCTCCCTCCCGCTGGCTGTCAGCTGCTGTAGGGAGCCACGAGGGATTGGATTGTCAGAATGGATCCCTCACCAGTCCCGTCCTACAGCACATATCTCCTACCACCCCCTGCATCCATGCTTCTCCTCCTCTCCCTCCAGCTGGCTGTCAGCAGCTGTAGGGAACCACACAGGATTGGATTGTCGGAATGGATCCACCAGTCCTGTCCTGCAGCACATATCTCCCACCACCCCCTGCAGCCCTGCTTCTCCTCCACTCTCTCCCGCTGGGTATCAGCTGCTGTAGGAAGCCACAAGGGATTAGATTGTCAGAATGGATCCCTCACCAGTCACCGTCCTACAGCACATATCTCCTACCACCCCCTGCAGCCCTGCTTCTCCTCCTCTCCCTCCCGCTGGCTGTCAGCTGCTGTAGGGAGCCACGAGGGATTGGATTGTCAGAATGGATCCCTCACCAGTCCCGTCCTACAGCACATATCTCCTACCACCCCCTGCATCCATGCTTCTCCTCCTCTCCCTCCAGCTGGCTGTCAGCAGCTGTAGGGAACCACACAGGATTGGATTGTCGGAATGGATCCACCAGTCCTGTCCTGCAGCACATATCTCCCACCACCCCCTGCAGCCCTGCTTCTCCTCCACTCTCTCCCGCTGGGTATCAGCTGCTGTAGGAAGCCACAAGGGATTAGATTGTCAGAATGGATCCCTCACCAGTCACCGTCCTACAGCACATATCTCCTACCACCCCCTGCAGCCCTGCTTCTCCTCCTCTCCCTCCTGCTGGCTGTCAGCTGCTGTAGGGAGCCACGAAGGACTAGATTGTCAGAATGGATCCCTCACCAGTCCTGTCCTGCAGCACATATCTCCCACCACCCCCTGCAGCCCTGCTTTTTCTCCTCTCTCCCGCTGGCTGTCAGCTGATGTAGGGAGCCACACAGGATTGGATTGTCAGAATGGATCCCTCACCAGTCCCATCCTGCAGCACATATCTCCCACCACCCCCTGCAGCCCTCCTTCTCTTCCTCACCCTCCTGCTGGCTGTCAGAGGCTATCAGGGCATGGGGAGATTGTGAATTTGTCCTTGGTCTTGCAATCTACTGCACAGTCTGTACAGCAGTCAGGGAGGGGAGGAAGAAGAAGTAGCACAAAGAATCACACAGCTGTGCTGCAGAGCTGATAGGAGGGAGCAGAGGAAGATCAGGTTCCCCTCCCCTGCTAGAAATGGCTGTGCTGTGTGGTGATTGTCATCTAGTTGCCATGATTCAGTATTTTTCTGAAATAAAATATATCACAGTATGGCCACTAGAAGCTAAGGATCATAGGAGATAATTATAATACAAACAATACATTGATCAGTTTGTTAGGCTTGTGCGGAGGCAGAAGATATATGCACAGCAATTTATATATATATGTATATATATATATATATATATATATATATATATATATATATATATATACTCCTTTAATTCCTCCAGAGGCAGGCAGGTGAATACCAGCACCATTTTCTCCACATTACCCAGCTTTGAGTGGATTTTCCCCTTTAAATTTGTAATGGGCAGCCTGTGATGATGAAATTCCCAAGCTGTGCTATGGAATTGCACCATTCTGGGCTCCTGGCTTCACTCTTTGGAATGTGACAGAGACCAGGAAAATACACCGTACTGCTCATGCAGCCGGCAGTATTGCAAAAAAATCATAAAGGGAAAGGAGTTTTGTTGCAGAAAATTAAATTAGGGGTGTATTTATAAAAATGTGTGCATAGCAATTTGCCCAATGAAAGTAATTTGTTCTGTGTGAATGGGGCAAAAAATGAATGATAACTACCACATTCGACCACTAGATCCTTTAGATTGTAAGCTCCATGAGCAGTGCCCTCACATTCCTTCTGTACTGAAATGTATTGTAATTGTACTGCCCCCCTTGTATTGTAAAGTGCTGCGCAAACTGTTGGCGCTATATAAATCCTGTATAATAATAATAATTCGATGCCACTAAGTATCATAGAAATTCTTATAATACTAGGTGCCATCTAGTGTCCAAATACAGCAATTAAAAATATTCATCCCACACAGGAAATAGCCTAACAATTTGTTTGCCCCAATCACACAGAATGAATGTAAATGCGCTTTCACTGAGCATATCGCGTCGCAAATTTCTTTAATAAATACACCCCCATAAAGTCTCTTCCACCTAAAACCTGTGCATGCCAGAAGATTATTTTTTCAGAGAAAAGGTTTGCTTATGTAAATATGGATACCAGCTTAGTAAAGCCTTGTTTTTAGCCATTATATACAATATGAGCGTTATCAAGACTACATTTTAAAGGGTTAGTTTCCTTCATGTTTACAGAAGTAACATGGCACATGTGACTGAATGTGGTCCAGATGGAACTTACTAACTCCCCTTGCTGCGATGTGCTTGGTTGAGTAACATCCGTATTTGTGAGTGACGTCATCTAATTCTGGAGCACGAGGCTGAACTTGATAATGAAATCGAGACTCAGTGGCTAGAGGTTTTGGGATTTCTTTTCTCCAGTCTGGTGGAGCATCTATAGCATATTTAATTTGATAACCTGTATGTGATATTAGACACAAGTAAATTGCTATGTACATATATATCACCAGTTCAAGACGGTTACAACTATGACTGATATTATTAAAAAAAAATAAAATAAAATCTGCTAAGCTTAATTACACTGATATTGAAGACAACATTAAATAGTGTTACTAAACCCACAACAGTAAAATCAGTCTGTATATGTAGTAGAACATGCTTGTTATACTCACTGTGGAACCTAAGGGGTTAATCCTCCACATTGTGTAAAAACGCTATTTGATCCTGTCTTCTCTGATCCTCCCCTTCTTATACTGTTCCCAATCCATTTGTTGATAGTACAGAGCCCTAAGAGTCACTCTGCACATGCTCCGTTTGGTGTGTACTGCTAGAGAGGTTTTGTTTTTTTTCTTGGAAGGACGCATATGATCAACACAGGGCCAATCAGCACTGTCCAGACAGAGGGTCAGGCATTATGCAGCTTCATAGGACAGTCAGAGCAGCATGAAAATTCCTCCTGCAAGCTTTGACCACTGCTCAGCTGGACACTGATAGAAGTCACAAGACTTGTGGGAGACCAGATATAGTGAATGTAGGGTTCTGGGTTTAGTAACACTTTAACTCTAAAACCTATAATTTATTAGCAAACATAGGAGTTTATTTATAACACTGTGAATGTATTGCATTTTGATTATATAGCTTTGATGCATCATGCATGTCCCCTCTGTCCTGAATATCGTTATGAATGTAAAAGCAGAAATCTGAGAAAATGGGTTTTTTTTGCTCATGTAGTAAGACTGTGCCAGCACTGCACAGGTTAAATGCTCGTGTTTTTCTAGGGGAGAGGACACCAAAGATATAAAGAGTCCTCCCCGATCAAGACCGGTCCTTTCATCTCCTGCCCCCCACGAGGTCCAGCGGTCTTGTAAATGGACTGTTCCTGATGTCAGCACGCTCAATGTGCGCTCCACAGACAGGAATAGTCCACCGCTGGACCATGGGGGAGTGTGGTTTTCTGTACGATCGGCGGGTCAGGTGAGTATGAGCTTAGTCCTCACCTCTAGAAAAAACAAGCAGCTTATCCATGCAGTGGGGGCACAGCCCCACTGCATGGTAAGAAAAGAGAACATTTTGACATGGTTTCAGCTTTAAAGATGAACTCCAACCTTACCTTTAGTCTTGCACAATTGTACAGGTTCCTTTTCTGTACTGAAATTGTTTATTTTGCTTTCACTGCACACTGTGAGCTTCTCGGAATGTACATTGGAATCTGCCTCAAGTCGGTTAGAGCAAAAATGTCATATCTTGTGTCTTACCAACCTTTAAATGTGGTGGCTGCATTAGTTTTCTTTTTTAAGGTTTTTTTTCACCTGGTGATAAGGTCAGGTCAACATACTTCCTATCTTAGGGTGTATGCATTCTGGATGGAGGAGTAAAGGAGACACATTTGGACAGCAGCATTGTCAATCTGTGAGGAGGGTAGTGTCAGACTAGCAAATTTAAATGTACTTGACTAACAAACTAAAAAAGCTGATCTCCAGCTAACACTTTATAAGACGTTATAGCAAACAACCTTTGCTCCTTTTGAGATAAAGGTTTTACAAAAATTAATAAAAGCTGATCATTTTAAGTACCCGTCAGTGATAAATGGTTTGTCTCAATCCTCTAACTGCCACTTTTGCTGGACAGCTTTGAAAATGAATGGACTTGAAGTGAAAATAAAGAAAAGTAGGTCTTTTCACTACAGAATTGCTGGTAAACCTAAAGGAGGTTGTACAAGGATTGTACAGATTGTAACGTCTGTGGTCAGCTCTTAGAAGCGCTGGGGATGCTGTTTATCAGAATACACCAAAAGCCTGGAGCTGTTTTCGGTTACAATACATCAAACACTCATGGCAACTGGTGCCTTGACCATGTGCTCCTGTTAGCTGCACAGGACATGGCAAAATGTGTTTTTTTCTCTATAGAACTGGTGGTCCTTTGCCAAAAGCGTTGTGAAATATTGTACTTAAAGCAGAGCTCCACCCAAAAGGGGAAGTTCCACTTTAAGGACTGCTCCCCCGCTCCCCATTAAGGATTGGCACCTGCGGAGGGAGTGGTACCCGTATTTGCCAGGTACCCGCTCCCACTTCCGGTCCGATCGCCTAGGTGAGCAGAAACGGAAGGTGTCCTCCCCCCCTCCCTCCCTGTAGTCTTTTGGGGCACATGACAGGTCCCAGAAGACTACAGGAACATTCAGGAAGTGCAGTGCTACTCGCGCAAGCGCAGTGGGTACCCGGCTGTGAAGCCGCAAGCTGTCACAGCCGGGTGCCCACACTGAAGATGCTGGCCTCCTGGAATACAGGACGGCCAGTGAAATGGGCTGCGGGGGACACACCACGGGACCAAGGGACAGGTAAGTGGCTGTTTTTTAAAAGTCAGCAGCTACAGTTTTTGTAGCTGCTGACTTATTTTTTGACAAGGTGAGTGGAACTCCGCTTTAAGATGCAAATGCTGCACAATAGAATTTTTCTTAAAAAAATATAATAACATCTGCATTGTTAAATGTGACCTGTCAAAATGTTGTCACAAAATGTATTATTACTTCAATTCAATGTAACAGGTGTTGCAGGTTTAGGTCTCATTCACACCATGGTGCAGAGACCTCAGTTTTTCTGCGCATGGTCTGCAAGGGCACAAAGAAAACAGTTGTTTTCTATGTGCCCTGTTCACACCACAACAGTAGTATCATATGCAGATTTTTTCTGTCCAGGAATAAGCAACGTGTATAAAACTCACTGGGATGTGCATGAAAACTGATGTAAACTTGTGTCCGTGCAAGTGAAATCTGTGCAATTGTTTCCATCAGTATTTCTGCATGTAAGTATTGCATATTATTCCTCACCATGAAAATAGAGAAGAAAAACAGTCCCATCACATTCTGCATACATTTAGCTTACATACCCGTATGACGAAGCTAGAGGCAAGCTATGGAAAACATGCAATCAGTTATTTTTTGAACAGACAGATACAGATAGAGATCAGTCATTAGTCAGATTAGTCATCAGAGTATTGCCTTATGGCTGCACATAGCTTAAATCTGCTAAAGGCAATTCACTGGGCCATACTAGGGGTATGATGACAGTTTTAATGACAACACAATATTTCTCACGGATTATTATACCCCATACTGGGTCCAAGCTGACAGAACTGGCTGAATTGACCAAATAGCCAAAAACTGAGTTCTGTTGTGAACATAAAATATATATAGTAGCCTTGAGTACAGGTACATATTATTATTATTATTATACAGGATTTATATAGCGTCAATAGTTTTCTCAGCGCTTTACAATATATAGTGAGACAATACAACAACAATACAGTTCAATACAAGAGGGTTAGGAGGGCTGCAACAGGTAACAGATCTGTAGTAGACCAGTAACCTTCCAGTTATTAAATGTGTCTAGCTGTAAGTAAACTATACTGTCAGTCAGGGCCGAGACAAGGCAGGGGCAGGAGGGACACTTGCCCTAGGCGCAGTCTTTTGAGGCTGAATGGGGGTGCCAGATTGCAAGCTGCACCACTCCCAAGTGTGTTGATAAGGGGCATCCATTTACAAATCCACTTTCAGTGTCCCTGCTGCCACGGCTGTGCTTCTTAGCTTCAGCAACATGGTTGTCGGTGAAAATATGATGGCTGACAGCATCCACACACTGCTGCTGCCCACCCTGTCAGCGCTAGTGGGTGGTTGCTATGACTGCTGTCATCCCAGCAACCAATCCAGTGCTTGCCCTGCCCCACCCCCAGGCCCTCTGGGAGCTCTGGGAACCATGATCTAAGGGAGGAGCTCTGGAGACCCTAATCTAAGGGGAATCTCTGGGGACTCTAATCTAAGGGGTATCTCTAGAGATTATGATCTAAGGGGGAACTCTGTGGATCCTGATCTAAAGGGGAGCTCTGGGGACCCTGAGCTAAGGGGGATCTCTTGAGACCATGATCTAAGCGGGATCTCTGGGGACCAAAATCTAAACAGGAGCTCTGGGGACCCTGATCTGGTGACTCTGATCTAAGGGTTAAGTCTGGGGACCAAAATCTAGGTGGAGTTCTGGGGACCCTGATCTAAGGGAGATCTCTGAAAACCCCGATCTAAGGGGGATATCTGGTGACTCTGATCTAAGGGGGGTCTCTCGGGACCAAAATCTAGGTGGAGTTCTGGGGACCCTGATCTAAGGGGGATCTCTGAGCACCCTGATCTAAGAGGGATATCTGGTGACTCTGATCTAAGGGGGAGCTCTGGTAACCCTGATCTAAGGGGGAGCTCTGGTGACCCTGATCTAAGGGGGAGCTCTGGTGACCCTGATCTAAGGGGGAGCTCTGGTGACCTTGATACAAGGTGGAGCCCTGGGAACCATGATCTGAGGAGGGGCTCTGGGTACCTTGATGTAAGGGGGTGACTCTGCGGACCCTGATATAAGGAGGGGGGAACCACCAATGCAAGGGCATGTTTTTCTCATAGTGATGTTGGGGCATTTCTTTCTACATCACTGTTAGCCCCATATTTCATTGCAGGATAGAATGTTTACCGCTATTAAACTCACATGTTACATACTGTATGTTTTGGTGAGGCGTGCTGCGTGCATAGCTATTAACTCACCCCCACCTGCTACTCCACCTGGAGGTGGGGGGGCGGGGGCTGATTGCCATCTTCGCCCTGGGAACTAGATGAACTTGTCCCAGCACTGCTGACAGTAATGCAAACTCTGTTTAACCACACACACCTGACTTTTTCTCCTGGGATTCCAATGCAAAGATAGTTTTAGCTGGGCTCCTTTTCCAGCTGTTCTGCCACAGATGACATATGGCAGATGATCCCATGCATGCGCATTTAGTACAAGAGGGGCCTGGCAATTCTTTTTTTTTTTTTTTTTTGCGTAGGTGGCAGATTCTCATAAGATGATAAACTGTCAGGAATGGACTGGCCAGCAATGGTGGGACTCACCTGCCTTTTGATCTGCAGTACCAGGGCTGGCCAGCGGGTGCTCCCAGCAATCAGAGACTCAACTTTGCAGCCAGCTAACACCTGGAACTGATTATGCTGGGGTATTTAAGGGATGGCCAGACCCACAGACTCTGCCTTGGTGTGTGTTTGTCCTGGGCCCTGTATCTGTCCTGCATCCTGTTTCTGTTCCTTTGCTGACCCTGCCTGATCTGAACCGCTGCTGACTTCTCCTGCTCTGATCCCGGCTCGCTCCTGACCATCCCTCTGCCTGACCCTCTGTACCACGCTGCTTGCTACCTGTTCTGATCCCTGGCTTGTGACCCTGACCATCCCTCTGCCTGACCCTCTGTACTACGCTGCTTGCTACCTGCTGAACCTGGCCTGTGACCCCGACCCATCTCCGCTTGCTCCCCTGTACCTACCTGCCCTATTGATATTGACCCGGCCTGCCTGACGACGCTTGCATTGTATGTACTGTTATCTGTGGGTGGTTGGTTTGGTTTGTTTGCACTGTATTATGTTTTAGTATTGCACTGCGTTTATGTTTGTATTGTTAGTGTTAATAAATTATATTGTTTATCACATATCTGAAGTCTGCGTTTCCCTGCGTCAGTCACACACATCTGGTCACACCCGGGAGCCCTGACATAAACATGGCATTTGGAAAACTCTATAAGGAGTCTGAACAAACCCAGGAATTAGAATTGGGGACATATGCCTACTGGAAACGAACTGTGCAAAAAAGCCTTGTGCCAGAATGGTGCTTAGCACACAATGCTCAAACTCTGCTATGTCGTAGCCCAAGGAGACTAGAAGGTCTATAAGATGTATAATGTGTAACTAGATGAACTCAAACAAATACAAGTGATTATAAATCATGAAAGGGCTGTAGCTCCTGAACTAAACAGAGACAAATTCTCACTAATAGGTGTGCTGCTGCCAACTATGGAGGAAGGGCTCCACCTGTATGTACACAAAGAGGGACAAGAAAAAAGACAACCATAGTGTAGTATCACTGTGTTCACCTTTATTTAAAAAAAACAATAATCCTACTCAAAAGGGTAGACATCTGGGAGCACTGAGCAACACAAGGACTGAAGCCACTAGGAGCAAGATCGCCAGAGTCCAGCTCAAAAAGAGGAGTCCTCGAAACACGTCATGCAACCACGCATGCTCCAGTGGTGATGTCATCAGAGGGACTGTCATGATCAAGGACGCCAAGCAGTTTGTTTGTTTACACTCCAAGCTGGTTAGCCCAACAGCAGTCCGGATACTGTGCATCGGTTTTATCTATCCATGTGACTCCTAGCATCCTTGGTCCTTGTGTTGCTCAGTGCTCTTAGATGTCTACCCTTGTGAGTAGTGTAGCAATCGTGCACCCAGAGATGGACGCGGTCATCCATTTTGCTCCAAACCCCTCCATCTTGTATCTCTCTTTCCCAAATCAGATTCCTCAGATATCCCCCCTCCTTCTCTGTTGAGTGACATGTGGTCTGGATGATGACAGAGATCACAGGCAGCAAACTCATTGGGAGGGCGTCATGGCTATAAACCCCAATTAGCTGGTGCCCATATGTCTGCGAGACTCTTGCTTGGAAAGGGATCGTAAAGCCATAAACCAAGTCCCTCGCTGAGCCTCAAAGACATTCCAGATAAGCAATAAAGCAGACATCCCATTCAAGACCCATTTTCCCCTATGATTACATATCTTGGACTATGAAAGACGTACATAGAAACCGGGCATATATTCAGATCGGTCTCGTTAATACAAGTTGTCTGATATATTACATCCCCTAGCTGGCATCAACAGGGGAGCAGAAATGATATCTCCTTCACCATCCCAGCAGGTATGTCATATTTCATACCTAGAGAATTTTTGGTTCTAGCTTGGGTCTCTGCCCCAACACCCCTCCCCAAATGAGGTGATTGGTTCTCTGCTTTAAGGAGACACCCTGCTGAGTTCCTAGAAAAAGCTGAGCTGAGCTGAGTTGAGCTAAGTTGAAGATTCTCCCTTTTAACATTGGAACTAACTTTGGGAGATAAGGCATCCTTTTGGCTCCGGAAACCTGATCTGCTTAAACCAAGGCGGACGGCAAGTACTTTATCCCTCTAAACTTCTTTCTGGTATCTCTGTGTTGTGTTATTGCTCTCTGTATATTTATATTTATATATATATATACACATACTACATCTTTTTCTGTAAATATTTTTATTGCACCCTTTTGACCTTTTAGTAATAAATCTTACTTTCTGAAAGTGTTGAACTGTTTCTAAAGCTATTTAATGCAAACTAAGAACCCCTGCCTCTGAAGAGCGCTACTGTGTGTGTGCTTAAACCTCTGTATAACCTGCCTGCGGTGACAGTGGTATACAGATGATTATTCAAACATCATAGTGTTATTGCTGATATTGCCGAGTTTCCTCTTTTTCTGTACAAAAAGGAGGTGGTGGCAGTGTGAAGGGTTAATTGCGTAATTAACCTGACCCAGTAACAATCGCTCCCAGGCTGTAAGTACACAGATTGTGGTCCATTAGCTGGAAAATCTTTGTGCAGGATGCAGCTGGGCGTGGCATTGTTACCCACGTGACAGAGCGGTTTTAGATTGACTAGTCCTTTGGTCACGAGTTTGGTGAGAAGGGCTGGGGTCTGACGCTGCGATCATCACAAGTAGGATTATTGTTTTTTAATAAATGTGAACCCAGTGATACTACACTATGGTTACTGTGCTGTCTTTTCCTTCGCCCTCCTACTGGAAACAAAACCTATGATAAAATTGTAATGGTCATTTTCTGGCACTGGATGCAAAACGGCACATCTTCATGCAAAAGCAAGCCTCAATATACAGTATGTTCCTGGAGGCTCTTACTCAAAAGCATACCTTGTGGTATTCCTAGATAGTCCCCTTTATATGTAGTGAGATACTGGGCTGTCATTACTCTCTGGACCTCTGCAATAGATGGCGGCTTAATCCAAGTTGAGCGACTGTCTTCTGAAATGTTTTTCTCTTGATGTGGTAATCGCCAAGCTGCAAAAGTCTGAAGATGAAAAGGATTTATCAAAGATTGCTAATAGCTACAAGGTATAACATTGTACATTGTCTTTAACAGAATGACCTTGATAAATAATGTTGTGTTTTTTAATCTTTAAATAGAACCTTTGTTCATTGTTACATTATATACTAAACCTAAGGGAAGATTACAATGTTATAAGCTACTGACAAAAATGGCAAGACATTAAAAAAAACACAAGGCTTCTCTTTTATCTTAAAATGGTACTAAAGTAAAAAAAAAAATGTATTAACCACTTAAGCTCCAGAATATTTTACCCCTTCATGACCAGGCCATTTTTTGCTATTCGTCACTGTGCTACTTTAACTGGCAATTGTGTGGTCATGCAACACTGCACCCAAATTAAATTCAAATAATTTAATTCACACAAATAAAGATTTCTTTTGGTGATATTTGATCACCACTGGGTTTTTTATTTTTTATTATATAAACAAAAAAAAGAGAAAATTTTGAAAAAAAAAAATGCTTAAAAAAAAAAAAATCTAATTTCTTCATAAATGTAGGCCAAAATGTAATCTGCTACATGGCTTTGGAAAAAAAAATCCCAATAAGCATATATTAAATGGTTTGCGAAAAAGGTATAGCGTCTACAAACGATAATATATATACACTGGAGTTTTCTTTTTTTTTTTTTTTTAGTAGTAGTAATGGCGATGATCACTGACTTATAGTGAGACGGTGACAGTGCGGTGGGCAATCTGACAATACAGGACACTTTGTGTGAACTGACTTACTGCCATTGACATCTCCAGTGACACTAATACATTGATCAGTGCTAATAATATACACTGTCAAATAATGACACTGGCTGGGAAGGGGTTAATATCTGGGGGCAATCAAAGGGTTAAGCGTGTGCCTATCAATGTATTAAGTGCTGTCACGTTCAGGGGGTAAGACCACCTGGGACTGTAACTCAAGAACTAGCGGGCCAGTGGCAACAACTTAATAGGTGTACATGGGTACTGGTCCTTGCAGATGCAGGAGCAGTGTGACCGCACGCAAACGGTGGTGTGCCAGAGTCGCAGGATCTAAGGAGCCACCAGGTCTTCACCAGAGCCACTGAAGGTGTGGATGTTGCGCTGCGTGACAGCCCTTTGACTGCGGCTAACACACCTGTGTGGGCAAAGTGCAAGCAAACAGCATGCTGGAAGGACAAGGGGTACGCACAGGATACTAGGAAGCAAACAACAAGAAACAATGCAGGAAAGGACACACACACACACACAGGGGGGATGAAGGAATCCACAGACAGAAACCAAAGAAAATAGAACAGCACAGCCAAAGGGAAAACGCTAAGAACAAAGATAGGATCAAACAACACACAAAATATTAGAATACTTAAAACACCACAGGAACTAGAGGGGTCCGGCTTCCACTTGTAAACATGTTGCTCGAACACTAACACACAGGTGCAAAGGCTTAATAATACCGGGGTTCAGGACGGATAGGTAGGAACCCAAGCAACTCGGACAGGAGGCAAAAACTGGCACTGGATCGATGTGCATGGAAACGTGACAAGTGTGGTGCTTTTACTAAGCAATGACACTGATTTTATGCCCTGCCTTGCAAGGAGAAAAAAAAAACAGCCACATCTCTACACTTTCAGAGAGCCCTGTGTTGTTTACCAACACAGGGCTTTGTTCTGCCATTCACTCGGCCTATCAGCAGGTCCCATCCACAAACCATTGGCTGGGACTGGCTGATCAGCTTGTGCCTTAGCGAAGGACAGCACAGCCAGGGTGGTGGGAGCACGCGTGCCCCTTATCCAGAAATGCGTACATGTTTGCGATCTGGTGCAGAAGAGCCACCGCACAGTATATATACAAGGAATAGTTGGCAATTAGTTAATATAATACCTGTCAAAAATCCAGTGAGGAGGGAGTGAGGGGTGTCTATAGACGCACACAGCCCGGTTAGGGACTGCACCCGCATGGCTGCCCACACAGCACATTGCTTGCTTCGAGGGCATACGGAAAGAGAAGGGAGTGGACAGTGCCAGCAGGAGACCCCAGAAGAGGAGGTAAGGGGCCACTCTGTGCAATATCCTTGCACAGAGTGGGTAAGTATATATAGTTTTTTTTAAATTTTGAGTTAAAAAGGAGACTTTTCTATCACTTTAAGTACATTGCGCAAAATCCAGAACAAGCTATTTTTTAAAGAATAACTAAAGGCAAAACTTGAGTGGAGAGGGATTAGAACACCTGTCAGGTTTTTACTGTTGTCTGTGGGTAAGACTGGCCATACATTATACAATTTTCTTGAGATTTTTGGTTTAGATTTACCAAAAACCATATAATAGGAGGTCAAACCTAACAACACTTTCAATTGTATCCAATTAGGCGGGCTCTTTCACTACATAGTTGAAGGTAAAACTAAAGGAAATTGGACAGAAAATTGTATAGTGTATGGCCAGCCTAAGGGAGATTACCTTCAGGTTAGGGAGTATCTCCTTCTCTATTTGTCCCCGCTGGGGAGAAGGTAGTTAGATGTTAAATGTACTAGAAAATTTAGATGGACTTGATTAACAAATTGAAGCAGAATTCCAATTAACACTTTAGAAGCAGGGACAGCAAACAAGCTGACCATTGTAAGCACCCGTCTTCAATAACTGGTTTATCTAGATCCACTAACCGCTGCTTTGTTTGGCCAACTAATGCGGCCATCACCACTAAGAATTGATGAGCTGCAATTTGAAAATTATTTGTTCTAAGGTTTAATGTTCCAATGCACATTTCAGAAATGACAGTTGTTTGTATGGTTGCCTTTGAAGGTGACCTTTCCCCAAATATATTTTTCTTGTTAACTGCACTAATGTTAAATAATGTATAACTCTTATTTTTTACTCTTTTTATTTTTCAACAAGTAGTACTCTCTTACTCCTGTACAGGGTCAGACTGACCATATGGAAACTTTGGCACTGCCCCAGGGCCCAGGGTCAGTAGGGGGCCCCATGAGATGCCCCTTGTACCTTTTTCATAGGCTTTTTTGAGTTTGGGCAAGGACACAGGGACCCCATGATCCCTTATTGCCCGGGGGCCTCATGAGTTGTCAGTCTGCCCCTTCTCCTGTAGACAGTGTATTCCTCTTGTCTCCGTTGAAGGTTTGTTCACATATTATCTGTTGTCAGCATCTACTTCCTGGACTGGGATATCAGATCAGGGATGACACAATCATATAAATTCCAGTGCCTGATCATTTCCTTATGTTCACATATGTCTGACATAGATAATTTTTTCAGTCTCTCTCTGTTATGTGCTCAGTGATCACCTTATAGAGATAATAGTAATATAATCACTCAACCTAAAAAAAAAAAAGTCTGGCCAAAAGGAGAAATCACTAATGAGAGGAGAAATAAAAAAACAGGCATGATTTATTATTATAGGTACTTAGATAGCACAGACAATTTACATACAGTTAGGTCAATATATAGTTGGACACAGGCACAATTTTAGTTTTTTTCGGGTATTTACCAAAATTTATTCAAGCTATAGTTATATAATGAATATGGGCTGAACGTGCACACTCTCAGGTTTACTTTGAGGATATGTACATCCAAATTGGAGGAAGGGTTTATGAATTACAGCTCTTAAGAGTAGCCACCCCCCCTTTTTCAAGGGACCAAAAGTAATTGGATAATTGAATCAATAGCTGTTTCATGGCCAGGTGTGGGCTACTCCGTCATTATTTCTTCATCAATTAAGCAGGTAAAAGGTCTGGAGTTGATTCTAAGTGTGGTATTTGCATTTGGAATCTATTGCTGTGAACCTACATCATGAGTTCAAAGGAGCTGTCCATGCAAGTGAAACAGGCCATTGTAAGGCTTCAGAAACTAAACAAATCCATCAGAGAGATAGCAGCAACATTAGGAGTGGCCATATCAACAGTTTGGTACATTCTAAGGAAAGAAGAACACACTGTGAGCTCAGCAACATAAAAAGGCATGGATGTCCACGGAAGACAACAATGGTGGATGATCGCAAGATCCTCTCTATGGTAAAGAAAAACCCATTCACAACATCCAGCCAAGTGAAGGACACTCTCCAGGAGGTGGGCATATCACCCCTCCTAGATTGTAAATTCCAAGGAGCAGGGCCCTCCAATCCATCTTGTATTGAACTGTATTGTTGCTGTATTATCTCCTGGTTTATATTGTAAAGCGCTGAGCAAATTGTTGGCGCTATATAAATCCTGTATAATAATAATAATTGTCAAAGTCAACAATCAAGAGAAGACTTCATGACAGCAAATAGATTGGGTTCACCACAAGGTGCAAACCATTCAAAAGCCTGAAGAATAGAAAAGCTAGATTAGACTTTGCCAAAAAAAAAATCTTAAAAAATCCAAACCAGCTCTGGAAAAGCATTCTTTGGACGGATGAAACGAAGATTAATCTGTACCAAAATGATGGGAAGAAAAAAGAAGAAAAAGTGGCGAAGGCTTGGAACTGCTCATGATCCAAAGCAAACAGCATCATCTGTAAAACATGGTGGAGGCAGTGTGATGGCATGGGCATGCATAGGTTCCAGTTGCACTGGGTCATTGGTGTTTATTGATGATGTAACAGAAACAGCCAGATGAATTCTGCAGTGTTTAGAGATATACTGTCAGCCCAGATTCAGCCAAATGCAGGAAAGTTGATTGGACAGCACTTCACAGTACACATGGATAATGATCCAAAACACACTGCAAAAGCAACCCAGGAGCTTTTGAAGGAAAAGAAGTGGAATTATCTGTAATGGCCGAGTCAGTCACTTAATCTCAACCCAATAGAGCATGCATTTCACTTGCTGAAGGCAAAACTAAAGGCAGAAAGATCCACAAAGACAGCTGCAGTTAGAGCCTGGCAAAGCAGGAGGAAACCCAGTCTTTGGTAATGTCTATAGGTTCCAAACTTCAGGCGGTCATTGCCAGTAAAGGATTCTAAACAAAATATTAAAAATGAACATTTTATTTATGATTATATTCAT